AAATACAGTGAACAGGTGACACGCATAAGTGGGAAACACACACACTTAGCCTGGAACAAGGGACCTCTTGGAATAGGGGGCGGTCAGGCCAAGTCTTCCTGGTGGCGGATCTCAGGCAGCGGGCGGAAGGCAGAGAAGCCCTGGACCGCACCGAGTAGGTGTAATACAGAAATCTGGTGGAAGACAGACTTTTGGTGGAACACACGCACGTGGTGATGTCCAGGAGAGTGCTGGAACGGAGGTCGCCCGTCCACGTCGGGAAAGGGTTGAAGCCACCCTTTGGCCGCCGGTGCAGGGACCGCAGCGTGCGGACATCCAGGCAAACGCCGCCAACGGCCGACTGGGAGTAGAAGGGCAAACGACGGGACACGGTGGGACGCAGAGATCTGGTGAAGGACAGACAAGCGTATGGAGTCCAGAGACAGGGAGGAACGCTCTTACCTTATCACAGACGGAGAGGCTGTGGCATGTGAGGATCTGGAAGAGGACGCGCAACCGGAGGAGTGTGGCCAACTCGCAGGCAACGGCAACGTGTGCTCATCCACGGTGGTAGCTGTGTCCTTGGACCTCGCTGACCTCAGGGAACAGGTGGCACGGCACAGACTTCTGGAGGGCAGGCATCCGTTGGGAGGCCCAGGAATTGGTGTGACACGGGAATCCCGGGGATTACAGAGAGCTCGTGGAGTACAAACATGGTGGCAATACAGGAGGTAGATCGGGTACATAGTTTGGGGGTTTACAGCGTGGTGGTGCAACACAGGGAACGGTGGCTAGACCACAACCCCGTGCGTACAGGGTACCGGTGAACAAACAGATGTCCCGGCGTACATGAAATGGGAGGTTCACAGAGATCAGGGAAGTTACAGGCATCACGGGGAGTACAAAGAGTAAGGGGAATTGACAGGGACGTTGGAACAAAGGACCCCTTAGACCAACAGCAGCTGGTGGAGCACGGGGGATTGGCATCACAAACGTCCGGACGACTACGGAGAACGGCTGGCGTCCGGGGGAACGCTCGCGTCGGCCAATCCTGTCCTTTACAGCGCATCCAGTTGAACACGGGCACGTGGTGATCAGAGAGAGCTGCCAGGAACACAGGGCCCTGAACAAGTTCGCAGAACCGGTGCGATGCAGGGGCTCCGGCGGGATAGCGAGACTGCTCCGTCCGTGCGACGCAGAAATCTCGTTGTCTACAGAGAACCGGGGAGCACAAGTCTTCTCAAACTGTGGGGATACGGTGGAAATACCGGGGCCCGGTGGATCACAGAGAACGCAGGAAGACAGAGAAGTGAAGGGGACACGTCCCTTCTCGTCTGCGCAAAAGTGCCTGCCGTCCCACGGGGATCGGGAAGGATTCGGAGAAGTGGCGGAGCTCAGCGGTCTTGTGGATGACTGTTGCCTGTGGGAAACCAAAGTGCTTCTTGTATCCCGGGGACAGCTGTGGCAGAGCGTCAGGTTGCACACAGGGAACGGGCAGATAGTGGACATCTGGTGGACCCGCAGGGTGCGACGTAGTCCAGGGCTGCCGTAGACGACGTAGAGCTTGGTGAATACAAGTACCGGTGGAGTACAGGGAGGTGGGGAGGTACAGAGTGGGTTGGAACACAGACGGCCGGTGGAGCACCGGGGGCTTTGGGTCTACAGCAAGGGGTTGTAAATACACAGCCAGTGAAATACAGGGATCTGGTGGAATACATGAAGCGGGTAGGATACAGAGATGTGGGCGTGGGGCTGGGGGAAGGATGGATCTCGCAGAACGCAGAGGATCAGCAGAATCCTTCGCGGTTGGGCATCCCAGGAAGAGTGCAGACAGCAGAGCGGCGGTGGACCGCACGGAAGAGTTGCAATACAGAATCCTGGTGGAAGACGGGGGTGTGGTGGAACACACGCACCTCGTGCCGTCCAGGGAAGTGCCGGAACACGGGTGTCTGGAGGAACTCGGCGACGGGTTGAAGACGTCCTTCCGGTGGCGATCCAGGACTCCTGGGCAGCCAACATCCGGGTAAAGACCGCAAAGGCCGACTATGAATGGGGGCCAACAAGCGGTAGGATGGATGACAGAGATCGGGTGGGGTCCAGACGAAGGTGTGGAGTCCAGCGATCGGAGGAATACACTTACCTCATCAGAGACAGAGAAGTGGTGGATGTGAGGACCTGGCAGAGCACAAACAACCGGAGGAACTTGGAGAATGTGCAGACAACAGCAACGTGTGGTCATCCATCGCGGCCGCGTGTCCCGTGACCTCGCTGGAGGCAGGGATCGGTGGCACACAGCAAACTGCTGGCGTGCAGAAATCCAGTGGAGTCCCACGAGATTGTGATGATAGAGGAACCTTGGAGAAGACACAGAGCTTGTGGAATACAAACTTTGCAGCGATACAGGAAACTGGTGCTGTACACGGTTTGGGGCCCACAGGCAACGGTGGGTACACAACAGGCCGAGGAATACAGAGCATGGGAGGGAAAACAGAGGCACTGGAGCACTGAACGAGGGAGGCTCACAGAGACTAGGGAGGTACAGGCATCGTGGGGAATACAAAGAACGAGGGCAACCGAGGGGACCGTTGGAACGAGTGCTTCTTCCCAAAAGCACAGGAACTGCTGGAGTGTGGGGAAACTGGCCTCGGAAACACATCAGGATGAGTACAGGGACGGGCCGAGTCCTGGAGCATGCCCTTGTCGACCGGTCTCGTGGAATGCAGCGATCCAGCTGCGCACGGGCACGTGGTGGAATGGAGAGAACTGCAGGAACGCTGTGCCCTGGTGAAATGCGGGGAGCTGGTGGAATCCACGGGTGTGGGGCTTTATCGGGAATTGGGGTGACACAGAAAAAAGGGTGGCATACAGAGAACGGGGGAATACAATTCTTGGCAAACGATGGGGATACAATGCAATCCGGGGTCTGGCGGAGCACACAGAACTGGGGCGTACAGAGAACGGGAGGGGGCAGTCTACATGTGGCCTGCGGAGAGGTGCCCCTCCACGAGGATCTGGAAGAGTACAGAAGAAGGCTGGAACTCGGCCATCTAGCGGATGGCTGCCATCTGTTGGAATCCAACGTGCGGCCTGCATCCCGGGACAGCGCAAAAGATCTTATCAAGGTGCCCCCGGTCAACGGGCGGATACCGGACATGTGCCGAGTTGCAGGATGCCGTGGAGCACAGAACTCCGAAGACAGACTTTTGGTGGAACACACGCACGTGGTGATGTCCAGGAGAGTGCTGGAACGGAGGTCGCCCGTCCACGTCCGGGAAAGGGTTGAAGCCACCCTTTGGCCGCCGGTGCAGGGACCGCAGCGTGCGGACATCCAGGCAAACGCCGCCAACGGCCGACTGGGAGTAGAAGGGCAAACGACGGGACACGGTGGGACGCAGAGATCTGGTGAAGGACAGACAAGCGTATGGAGTCAGAGACAGGGAGGAACGCTCTTACCTTATCACAGACGGAGAGGCTGTGGCATGTGAGGATCTGGAAGAGGACGCGCAACCGGAGGAGTGTGGCCAACTCGCAGGCAACGGCAACGTGTGCTCATCCACGGTGGTAGCTGTGTCCTTGGACCTCGCTGACCTCAGGGAACAGGTGGCACGGCACAGACTTCTGGAGGGCAGGCATCCGTTGGGAGGCCCAGGAATTGGTGTGACACGGGAATCCCGGGGATTACAGAGAGCTCGTGGAGTACAAACATGGTGGCAATACAGGAGGTAGATCGGGTACATAGTTTGGGGTTTACAGCGTGGTGGTGCAACACAGGGAACGGTGGCTAGACCACAACCCCGTGCGTACAGGGTACCGTGAACAAACAGATGTCCGGCGTACATGAAATGGGAGGTTCACAGAGATCAGGGAAGTTACAGGCATCACGGGAGTACAAAGAGTAAGGGGAATTGACAGGGACGTTGGAACAAAGGACCCCTTAGACCAACAGCAGCTGGTGGAGCACGGGGATGGCATCACAAACGTCCGGACGACTACGGAGAACGGCTGGCGTCCGGGGGAACGCTCGCGTCGGCCAATCCTGTCCTTTACAGCGCATCCAGTTGAACACGGGCACGTGGTGGATCAGAGAGAGCTGCAGGAACACAGGGCCCTGAACAAGTTCGCAGAACCGGTGCGATGCAGGGCTCCGGCGGGATAGCGAGACTCCGTGCGACGCAGAAATCTCGTTGTCTACAGAGAACCGGGGAGCACAAGTCTTCTCAAACTGTGGGGATACGGTGGAATACCGGGGCCCGGTGGATCACAGAGAACGCAGGAAGACAGAGAAGTGAAGGGGACACGTCCCTTCTCGTCTGCGCAAAAGTGCCTGCCGTCCCACGGGATCGGGAAGGATTCGGAGAAGTGGCGGAGCTCAGCGGTCTTGTGGATGACTGGCCTGTGGAAACCAAAGTGCTTCTGTATCCCGGGGACAGCTGGGCAGAGCGTCAGGTCGGTGGAATACCGGGGCCCGGTGGATCACAGAGAACGCAGGAAGACAGAGAAGTGAAGGGGACACGTCCCTTCTCGTCTGCGCAAAAGTGCCTGCCGTCCCACGGGGATCGGGAAGGATTCGGAGAAGTGGCGGAGCTCAGCGGTCTTGTGGATGACTGTTGCCTGTGGGAAACCAAAGTGCTTCTTGTATCCCGGGGACAGCTGTGGCAGAGCGTCAGGTTGCACACAGGGAACGGGCAGATAGTGGACATCTGGTGGACCCGCAGGGTGCGACGTAGTCCAGGGCTGCCGTAGACGACGTAGAGCTTGGTGAATACAAGTACCGGTGGAGTACAGGGAGGTGGGGAGGTACAGAGTGGGTTGGAACACAGACGGCCGGTGGAGCACCGGGGGCTTTGGGTCTACAGCAAGGGGTTGTAAATACACAGCCAGTGAAATACAGGGATCTGGTGGAATACATGAAGCGGGTAGGATACAGAGATGTGGGCGTGGGGCTGGGGGAAGGATGGATCTCGCAGAACGCAGAGGATCAGCAGAATCCTTCGCGGTTGGGCATCCCAGGAAGAGTGCAGACAGCAGAGCGGCGGTGGACCGCACGGAAGAGTTGCAATACAGAATCCTGGTGGAAGACGGGGGTGTGGTGGAACACACGCACCTCGTGCCGTCCAGGGAAGTGCCGGAACACGGGTGTCTGGAGGAACTCGGCGACGGGGTTGAAGACGTCCTTCCGGTGGCGATCCAGGACTCCTGGGCAGCCAACATCCGGGTAAAGACCGCAAAGGCCGACTATGAATGGGGGGCCAACAAGCGGTAGGATGGATGACAGAGATCGGGTGGGGTCCAGACGAAGGTGTGGAGTCCAGCGATCGGGAGGAATACACTTACCTCATCAGAGACAGAGAAGTGGTGGGATGTGAGGACCTGGCAGAGCACAAACAACAAAACAACCGGAGGAACTTGGAGAATGTGCAGGACAACAGCAACGTGTGGTCATCCATCGCGGCCGCGGTGTCCCGTGAACCTCGCTGAGGCAGGGATCGGGGTGGCACACAGCAACTGCTGGCGTGCAGAAATCCAGTGGAGTCCCACGAGATGTGATGATAGAGAACCTTGGAGAAGACACAGAGCTTGTGGGAATACAAACTTTGCAGCGATACAGGAAACTGGTGCTGTACACGGTTTGGGGGCCCACAGGCAACGTGGGTACACAACAGGCCGAGGATACAGAGCATGGGAGGGAAAACAGAGGCACTGGAGCACTGAACGAGGGAGGCTCACAGAGACTAGGGAGGTACAGGCATCGTGGGAATACAAAGAACGAGGGCAACCGAGGGGACCGTTGGAACGAGTGCTTCTTCCCAAGAAGCACAGGAACTGCTGGAGTGTGGGGAACTGGCCTCGGAAACACATCAGGATAGTACAGGGACGGGGCCGAGTCCTGGAGCATTGCCCTTCGGACCGGTCTCGTGGAATGCAGCGATCCAGCTGCGCACGGGCACGTGGTGGAATGGAGAGAACTGCAGGAACGCTGTGCCCTGGTGAAATGCGGGGAGCTGGTGGAATCCACGGGTGTGGGGCTTTATCGGGAATTGGGGTGACACAGAAAAAGGGTGGCATACAGAGAACGGGGGAATACAATTCTTGGCAAACGATGGGGATACAATGCAATCCGGGGGTCTGGCGGAGCACACAGAACTGGGGCGTACAGAGAACGGGAGGGGCATCACATGTGGCCTGCGGAGAGGTGCCCCTCCACGAGGATCTGGAAGAGTACAGAAGAAGGCTGGAACTCGGCCATCTAGCGGATGCTGCCATCTGTTGGAATCCAACGTGCGGCCTGCATCCCGGGACAGCGCAAAGATCTTATCAAGGTGCCCCCCGGTCAACGGGCGGATACCGGACATGGCCGAGTTGCAGGATGCCGTGGAGCACAGAAACTCCCGTAGATCACATGCAGCTTGTTGGGCAGGGACAGTGGTGATGTACCCGTGATGAGGGTACACGGAGGTTGTTGCCATGCAGGCTGCCGGTGGGATACAGGGAACTTTGCCAATCCAACGCCCGCTGCTCCGTAGGGAACGGTGAAACACAGGGAACAGGTGGACGCATCCAGCGGGTAGCACACAGACTTGGGCTGGAACAAGGATCTCTTGGAATAGGGGGCGGTCAGGCCAAGTCTTCCTGGTGGCGGATCTCAGGCAGCGGGCGGAAGGCAGAGAAGCCCTGGACCGCACCGAGTAGGTGTAATACAGAAATCTGGTGGAAGACAGACTTTTGGTGGAACACACGCACGTGGTGATGTCCAGGAGAGTGCTGGAACGGAGGTCGCCCGTCCACGTCCGGGAAAGGGTTGAAGCCACCCTTTGGCCGCCGGTGCAGGGACCGCAGCGTGCGGACATCCAGGCAAACGCCGCCAACGGCCGACTGGGAGTAGAAGGGCAAACGACGGGACACGGTGGGACGCAGAGATCTGGTGAAGGACAGACAAGCGTATGGAGTCCAGAGACAGGGAGGAACGCTCTTACCTTATCACAGACGGAGAGGCTGTGGCATGTGAGGATCTGGAAGAGGACGCGCAACCGGAGGAGTGTGGCCAACTCGCAGGCAACGGCAACGTGTGCTCATCCACGGTGGTAGCTGTGTCCTTGGACCTCGCTGACCTCAGGGAACAGGTGGCACGGCACAGACTTCTGGAGGGCAGGCATCCGTTGGGAGGCCCAGGAATTGGTGTGACACGGGAATCCCGGGGATTACAGAGAGCTCGTGGAGTACAAACATGGTGGCAATACAGGAGGTAGATCGGGTACATAGTTTGGGGGTTTACAGCGTGGTGGTGCAACACAGGGAACGGTGGCTAGACCACAACCCCGTGCGTACAGGGTACCGGTGAACAAACAGATGTCCCGGCGTACATGAAATGGGAGGTTCACAGAGATCAGGGAAGTTACAGGCATCACGGGGAGTACAAAGAGTAAGGGGAATTGACAGGGACGTTGGAACAAAGGACCCCTTAGACCAACAGCAGCTGGTGGAGCACGGGGGATTGGCATCACAAACGTCCGGACGACTACGGAGAACGGCTGGCGTCCGGGGGAACGCTCGCGTCGGCCAATCCTGTCCTTTACAGCGCATCCAGTTGAACACGGGCACGTGGTGGATCAGAGAGAGCTGCAGGAACACAGGGCCCTGAACAAGTTCGCAGAACCGGTGCGATGCAGGGGCTCCGGCGGGATAGCGAGACTCCGTGCGACGCAGAAATCTCGTTGTCTACAGAGAACCGGGGAGCACAAGTCTTCTCAAACTGTGGGGATACGGTGGAATACCGGGGCCCGGTGGATCACAGAGAACGCAGGAAGACAGAGAAGTGAAGGGGACACGTCCCTTCTCGTCTGCGCAAAAGTGCCTGCCGTCCCACGGGGATCGGGAAGGATTCGGAGAAGTGGCGGAGCTCAGCGGTCTTGTGGATGACTGTTGCCTGTGGGAAACCAAAGTGCTTCTTGTATCCCGGGGACAGCTGTGGCAGAGCGTCAGGTTGCACACAGGGAACGGGCAGATAGTGGACATCTGGTGGACCCGCAGGGTGCGACGTAGTCCAGGGCTGCCGTAGACGACGTAGAGCTTGGTGAATACAAGTACCGGTGGAGTACAGGGAGGTGGGGAGGTACAGAGTGGGTTGGAACACAGACGGCCGGTGGAGCACCGGGGGCTTTGGGTCTACAGCAAGGGGTTGTAAATACACAGCCAGTGAAATACAGGGATCTGGTGGAATACATGAAGCGGGTAGGATACAGAGATGTGGGCGTGGGGCTGGGGGAAGGATGGATCTCGCAGAACGCAGAGGATCAGCAGAATCCTTCGCGGTTGGGCATCCCAGGAAGAGTGCAGACAGCAGAGCGGCGGTGGACCGCACGGAAGAGTTGCAATACAGAATCCTGGTGGAAGACGGGGGTGTGGTGGAACACACGCACCTCGTGCCGTCCAGGGAAGTGCCGGAACACGGGTGTCTGGAGGAACTCGGCGACGGGTTGAAGACGTCCTTCCGGTGGCGATCCAGGACTCCTGGGCAGCCAACATCCGGGTAAAGACCGCAAAGGCCGACTATGAATGGGGGCCAACAAGCGGTAGGATGGATGACAGAGATCGGGTGGGGTCCAGACGAAGGTGTGGAGTCCAGCGATCGGGAGGAATACACTTACCTCATCAGAGACAGAGAAGTGGTGGGATGTGAGGACCTGGCAGAGCACAAACAACCGGAGGAACTTGGAGAATGTGCAGACAACAGCAACGTGTGGTCATCCATCGCGGCCGCGGTGTCCCGTGACCTCGCTGGAGGCAGGGATCGGGTGGCACACAGCAAACTGCTGGCGTGCAGAAATCCAGTGGAGTCCCACGAGATTGTGATGATAGAGGAACCTTGGAGAAGACACAGAGCTTGTGGAATACAAACTTTGCAGCGATACAGGAAACTGGTGCTGTACACGGTTTGGGGGCCCACAGGCAACGGTGGGTACACAACAGGCCGAGGAATACAGAGCATGGGAGGGAAAACAGAGGCACTGGAGCACTGAACGAGGGAGGCTCACAGAGACTAGGGAGGTACAGGCATCGTGGGGAATACAAAGAACGAGGGCAACCGAGGGACCGTTGGAACGAGTGCTTCTTCCCAAGAAGCACAGGAACTGCTGGAGTGTGGGGAACTGGCCTCGGAAACACATCAGGATGAGTACAGGGACGGGGCCGAGTCCTGGAGCATGCCCTTGTCGACCGGTCTCGTGGAATGCAGCGATCCAGCTGCGCACGGGCACGTGGTGGAATGGAGAGAACTGCAGGAACGCTGTGCCCTGGTGAAATGCGGGGAGCTGGTGGAATCCACGGGTGTGGGGCTTTATCGGGAATTGGGGTGACACAGAAAAAAGGGTGGCATACAGAGAACGGGGGAATACAATTCTTGGCAAACGATGGGATACAATGCAATCCGGGGGTCTGGCGGAGCACACAGAACTGGGGCGTACAGAGAACGGGAGGGGGCAGTCTACATGTGGCCTGCGGAGAGGTGCCCCTCCACGAGGATCTGGAAGAGTACAGAAGAAGGCTGGAACTCGGCCATCTAGCGGATGGCTGCCATCTGTTGGAATCCAACGTGCGGCCTGCATCCCGGGACAGCGCAAAGATCTTATCAAGGTGCCCCCCGGTCAACGGGCGGATACCGGACATGTGGCCGAGTTGCAGGATGCCGTGGAGCACAGAACTCCGTAGATCACATGCAGCTTGTTGGGCAGGGACAGTGGTGATGTACCCGTGATGAGGGTACACGGAGGTTGTTGCCATGCAGGCTGCCGGTGGGATACAGGGAACTTTGCCAATCCAACGCCCGCTGCTCCGTAGGGAACCGGTGAAACACAGGGAACAGGTGGACGCATCCAGCGGGTAGCACACAGACTTGGGCTGGAACAAGGGATCTCTTGGAATAGGGGGCGGTCAGGCCAAGTCTTCCTGGTGGCGGATCTCAGGCAGCGGGCGGAAGGCAGAGAAGCCCTGGACCGCACCGAGTAGGTGTAATACAGAAATCTGGTGGAAGACAGACTTTTGGTGGAACACACGCACGTGGTGATGTCCAGGAGAGTGCTGGAACGGAGGTCGCCCGTCCACGTCCGGGAAAGGGTTGAAGCCACCCTTTGGCCGCCGGTGCAGGGACCGCAGCGTGCGGACATCCAGGCAAACGCCGCCAACGGCCGACTGGGAGTAGAAGGGCAAACGACGGGACACGGTGGGACG